TCCAAGAAAGTCATGTTTGGATGAAATTCAAAAATGGATTTTCAAAAAGGAAAAAGAAAAAAAAGGCAAATTATGAAACAGTATGTGAATGAAGTGGTTGATTTCCAAGAATAGAAATGTATGGCGAGGCTTAGTTAATTGTGTTGGCATAACCTAAATTTAACTATACTTCCTTTCCTTATGTCATTCCTTTAATTTCTTTGATTTACTGTTTCTGACTCCCGTTTATTTACCCTGGAAGGGAAAATCATATAATGGTGGATATCTAGGTATGTATATATTTATTTAGAAAAAAAGAGCAGCATTCTTTGTTGGCCAAGATGTGCCCTTCATCTTTCGGGATGGAGAGGAAGAAACAATGATGCAAAGCAAATCCATATTTATATGCTCTACATGCTGTTTGGGGAAGCCTGAGAAGTTTAAGTCCACACACTTTAAAGTTTCTGAGGCTCTGTAGGCTAGTCAAATATCCATTCAGGATACCTAACAGTTACTTTAAATCACTTGTTCAAGACCAAATGGATTAAGGAACAATCAGTTTTGTGAGAGATCCAAGAATCTTCTTCCTAGCATTATTCCTGCACTCTGGCATGGTCCACTTGTAGGCAAAGCTGTCTCCATTTGGGTAGAGCCAGGGCATCTTCATGTCCTCCTTGATGAAATCCATCCACCTTTTTTTGGGTCTGCTACCGGGTCCAGACTCATGGCTGTCCTTGCCACCGAGTCTTCTTTACCGCATCCAATGTGTCCTTACCATCAAAGTCTTCCTTCTCACATCTTTGCTATGATTGACATGACTCCCAGTCGACATCGGATGTCATTGTTCACAGCGTGGTCAAATTGCATTAGTCCAAGTTAGCACCATCGGAGCAGTCGCATTTCCATCACATGTATGACTGCTCATGCTTTGCCATTGCTGGCCAGCTCTCTGATCCATAGAGGGTGACTGGACTCACTACTTTATTTTTATTTATTTATTTGGTTTGTCGATCATGTACTAGATAACAGGTATAAGTATAAACATGGACATGAACACAGGAAATGAGTACAAATAAATGGGGACAGTAGGCATGCTGGTGCACTTATGCACTCCCCCTTTACGGACCTCTTAGGAATGGGGTAAGGTCCATGGTAGACAGTTTAAGGTTGAAGCTGTGGGGGTTTGAGAATGTAACAACGGAGTCAGGTAGAGCATTCCAGGCATTGACCACTCTTGCTGAAGTCGTATTTTCTGTAGTCGAGTTTGGAGTGGTTTACTTTGAGTTTGTTTGCCTGTGTATTGTTGAGGTTGAAGCTAAAGTAGTCATTGACTGTAAGTCTTTGTCTTGAGGTATAGGAGCAACCAGTGGATCCACTTCATCTAGGCGGTGTTGACACAGGCGCTGGCATCCGGAAAGCTATCACAATTGCTGAATATGTGGGAGCTGAGGTACTTGAATTGCTCTTCTTTCTTTAGGTCTTCTCCATCAATGCCGATGGTTCCACGAGTAACAATTCCATAATTGCGTAATATGGAAATAACATGGAAAAGAAAACTCTGCTACTGTAAGCCAACTGAAAATAAGATTATGATATTTCAAGACCCCCCCATGCCTATAATTAAGTTGCATTAATTGCATTAAATACACATGCATACACACCAGGCATCCAGGACACTTTTCCATGCCTGCTGATCACGTTGAGAGAAAGAAATCCACCCTTCGAAACCTTTCTGTAACAGTATTTTTCTCTTTTGCTATTGCAGTCTGTCTTGACTCAACACAAAAGGTTCCTGCAGAGGCTGATTGAAGAAAAATAAAGGCAGTTTCTGTAAACATAAATATTTTGTGATGGGAGGGGGGCTGAAAGGGATTAATTAGTTTTGGAATCAAATCTCATAATGTAACTAAAATCCTGATTGGTTTTGGAAACAGTAATTTTTAGCAGCATGAATAATTACTGTTTTAAGCATGCAGTGCAAGTAATAACACGTCCCTGCTCGCATTGCCTGGATCTAAACCAAGACATCAACTAATAACAATAATGATAATTTTGCTATTGCTGCTCATTCAGTCAGAGAGATGGAGATCTTAAGCATTTAATCAGGGTTTCTGGGAATACATTAAAGAGGTTTATTTTGTTTTTCTTTTGCTGCATTGGAGAAAATCAGTTGCAGAAACATTTAAAATAATAATGGTAACTAGTCTTTAAAAACACAATCTCCTATTGTGTAAGAATATGTTTATTTTAAACATTTAATAAGGCACCTCTACCTTTGGATGTATTATCAATAAGCATATGGAAGCTGTGTTTACTAGATACTGAAATGGAAGGTCTGAAATTGTTCGAAGCAATGTCTACCTTTGAAAATTATTATATAAAAAAGAGACATGAGACATCACTTTGAAATGTTGCATAACATCTTAAATTTAATAAATAAATAAACATCTTGAACTGCCCCTTTTGTTGCAGCTCTACCAGTTTCCTAATGAAATTATTAGCTTGAAAGCAAGTATTTTTGTATCCAGTAAGTTTACTCTCGGGAAATTATATAAAGCATCCCACTGTAACATTATCATCCTACAGAGTGGATAAATTAACGGGATAAATTAAATCCCATTGAATTCAATTGACCTTATTTGTAAGTAATCAGACTGAAGTTTAAACTGGAAAATGCCAATCTTAGCTACTTGCTGACTCCATGCCAAGGATTTTTTAAAAAATGAGGTCAAATCTTTTTGAAATCGGTAGAATGTCATCACAAAGTCCAGGTCTTGTTCAAGAATAGGTCAATCCACACTTCAAGAAGAGGGGGGAATCAGTGTGTACAGAATTATGGACTATTGGAAGTCCATAATATTACTTTGCTTTTCCTTGAGGGAATGGAACAAAAATAATTCAACATGGAGAAAAAAAAACAGCTCTAGATGCATCTCAACTGATATAGAAGCCAATGTCTTATTGAAGAAGGCTATGAAGTGTATCTGGCCTCACGGGAATTAAGGCAGTGTGACATTTCACCCTTTTGAGATCTTTTAGACTAAAGGAGAATGAAAAGTGAATCAGAGGTCAGCTTGTCTACCATTATTCCACAACTGACTTTCTGCATATTGGGTGGCAAGGATATGAAATGGAAATGATTCCTGAAAGATACTGTACTTTTATCTCATACTCATAACATATGCCATAAATTATAATCCCATTGTTTTATTCTGTTTTGTTTTTAACAGTACAGCATCCAATTGTCCCAGCATCACATATCTTTTTCCACAACCAACCATGGTTCTTTGTCATTAACTTTCTTGAAAGAAACTATGGCTTAAAACAGTAAATGAGCCTGATTTAAATAAAAGGCTCTCAAATTGGTCTCCCACCCAGGGAACATTTGAAAAAGCCTCATGGTCTTACTTCTTTGTTGTTTATAAAGTAGAAACATATCATTCATATAACATAATTACCCAAATTGTGGTGTTGGAGATAGGGCTTTTAAATTATCTTAATAAATAAAATAAAAATGAATAATGAGAGAGGGAAACAAAAAGATAAATCATGACAAACAAAAACCCACCAACAACTTCTATCTATCTATCAAATATTTTCATCAGATGTCTAATGAGTTTCTAATTATACATTTTCTTTAAAAAGATGGTACGTTAATGTTCAAAAAGTCATAAAAACTATGCCAAAGAACATCATACTGAATCATATTTTAACACTGCCTTTTCAAGATAAATTATACACATACTGAATCCAGTCCTTAATATCAAGAATATCACTACTATTCTAATTTCTCAATATAATTGTCTTAATGACATCCCCAGCCTGAAATAACTCCTAAAAAAACTCCCATCAGATTCCAATGTTTGTGAATATAATTCAACAATCACCCAAAATGTAAAAAAAAAAAAAATGTGCAACTTAATCTAGGCTACCGGGAAGGGCCTCAATAAATAATGTATCATCTCCATGTTTTATTATGAAAGTCATGAATTATGGGCCAGAACCTCTTTACTGTATTTGAAAATCAGGCAGGGGTCAAAATTGCCTCATCCCTGGGGAGAGAGGAGGTGATCAGGTTCACTAAGCATACAACATTCGAACCCCACTTAATTGATTTGTAAGCCACATTTTGGGAGCTTTTAGTATTCATTCCTCAACATAACATTGCTTGCATTTAATATAATGAACACTGATCCATTATGGAAGCTTATGGGATAAAGATGCACATTAATCTCTAGAATGTTAGGATCCTTAATTTTAGAGGAAAGTTGTGATATTATCATAATGCCCTTTGACCAGAGGATTTGAAATGGGGAAGAGTAGACCACAGGACCCTCATCATAGCAAGGAATTCCACAAGAATTTTTATTACACGATAAATCACCCTTCTCTGCCACACGTTTATTTTGCAACGAAATGTTTTGACGTTATTCTCGATTGTCATCCGGCTCAGACACTTTCTCAAGTTTTCTCGGAATCCTAGATTTTATTCTTTTTTTGTCCCCAGCTCTTTCCAGCCTATCTCCACGTTTCGCTCTTTCCAGCTCTCCACCCCTCACCCCGCCTGCCAAAGTGAACTTCGCAATCATTGCCAGCCGCATTTAGAGAAAATCGATGCCTGCGGAGGGCTTTCTGAACGAGCTTTCTAATCGGGCTCAAGCGGCCGTTTGGTCTCCTTTCAAAGGCGGGTTTGATGCAGATTGACTTAATTTCCCGTTGCGTTTCGGCGCGCAGATGAGGCTTCTTTTCAAAGGCAGGCAGGTGGCCACAGAGGCTTCTCTCGCTTTCTTCCCTCACCCTCCCGCTTACTTGCCCAACCCGCAGTCAATGTCAGTCATTTCTTGCCGTCCGCCCTCTCCGTCCAATCCCACCACCCCCGCGGGAAAGTCGAGCGCAAAAAAAGGGGAGCTTTTTTCGCAGTTGCCATGTGGCGGCGGCGGCGGCGGCGGCGGCACCTTTGACGTTCCACTTTCCCACGTGACAGACAGCCTCGCTCCATTCCAGGGAGGGAGGGAGGGAGGGAAAGAAAGAAAGAGGGAGGGAAGCGCTTCTCGCCGCTGCCGCTGGCTCCGCTTCAGCAAAGCTTTGAGGGAGTTGCAAACGCCGGAGGAGCGGCGGCGGCGGCGGCGGGAGAAAGCAGTGCAGCGTGTGTGTGTGCGCGCTGCTTGTGTGATGAACGAGCCTCGCTTCCTGCCGTCTTCTGCCGGCTGAGACCTCTTGCACAGGGCTTTGGGTGGGTGGTCCAAGGAGCTGAGGAGAAGAGAGCCGCCGCTGCTGCTGCTGCTGCTGCTGTGCGCCGGGTGACCTTGGCCCAGGAGGTAAATAACGCCAGGCGGTGGGAAGTGGGGGAATTTTGCCTGGCTGGCTCGGCGCGGGGTTTGCGTTCGGGTGAAACCAGCCGCGGGCGGGAGAAGGAGGAGGAGGAGGAGGAGGAGGTGCCCGAGGCGCTGTCCTCGGTGCTGAAATCTCAGGCAGCTTCTCCGCTTTCACTGCAGGGCAAAACAATCTCGCGCGCCTGCCATTTGCTGCCGAAAGGCACAAGGCAGACGCCCGCCTAAGAAGGCTGCTCCCAGGAGGGGGCGGTGGGAGGAAGGAAGGGAAGGGCAGGGCTGTTTGAGGACCACTGTAGAACCGAGCCGGCGAGCCAAGGACTGCCAAGCAACCTTTGTGTTGTGACTGTTCGGGTTTAGAGGGGGCAGGGCCGTTCTCAGAGTCGAATCGGGTCCCCCAACTCACATGAGAGGAGCGAGGCGCAGAGGGCTGCTTCGCCTTGGTGAGCCGGCCGGGTCATGGAAGAGTGTGGTGGAAGAGGAAGAGGAAAAGGAGAGGAGAGGAGGAAGAGAACAGGTCCATAGATTGGTCCTGCCAGGGAAGGATGTGGATTTGAAAGCAGGCACGTGGCTGACTGTCGCAGAGTCAAAGGCGTTGGATCGTTTCTTTGTTTTTCTTTGTTTTTCTTTTTAACGTGGCACAGAAGTAGGTCCACTTTGAACAAAGCTGCGGGGAAGTGGTTGAAACTTAGGGCGAATTTTGTAGTCCAGTGGCCAGTTTTGTTTTGCTGGGGGTGGGGTGGGGTGGGGTGGGGGAAAAGCAACCGTTGCTAGAAAAGATGCTTACATCACTGTGATGCTGGTTCTAGGATGTTGATGCTAAAGCCTCCTGAATGGCAATTCAAGCAAACTCTGCTGGGTTAGCCAAGAATGGAGTGGCAAGATGAAACTTCCAGTGGCCGCTGGATGGTGCTGGAAGGAAAATTACTGCGTTGGTTTAAGGCAAGAGTTGGGGCAGGGCCACAGGGCTAAGTGAAAAGGACACTTCCTGTTAAGGAACTGGGAAAAAGTTAGAGCTGTCTACTGCGGACATGAGCTGCTTACCAAAGAATATCTGACTGAGATAACTTTCATTCTTCACAGAGGCTAATTGCTCTTCAAAAAAGTTACCAGGAGACCTAGCCTTAAGACATGGCACAAGGAAATAACTATGGACAGAGCAACAATGGGGTCGCTGATGAATCCCCAAATATGTTGGTGTACAGAAAGGTAGGCAACTGGATATGGTATAACAATGATTAATTTACCTATTACATTGATCAGCTGCCTTTGTTTTGAGAACTCAGCACAAGTACATTGAGGTCTCTCCCCCCCTCCATTCCCAATGCCACAGCAACAATGCTGTGAGTAGGTAGGTTTGAGAGAGAGTGACTGGCATATAGTAAGTATGAAACATATCATATTTCAATCAGTCACACCACATTTCAATCAATAAAGCTAAAGTCCTAATCTTACATCTATGTTGCTTAGCTTATCTGAGTGGTCCATATAGTGGAAAGAGAGAAAACAGCAATGTTGAAATTCTTGATTTCATTCACTCTTCATCTATAAACTATGTGGAAATACAAGGGCACTTTTTTGCACACAAGATTTAATTTGATAGGAGGTGGAACATCTTAACAGTTTCAGCTTCAGTAAACCCTTGTATTCTTCAACAGAACTTTTAAAATCATCACTCAAATGAAACTCCTTTTGTTGGGAAATGATGTAAGATATTAAATAGAGGAAGATATATGGCAGTGATGGTGCGCTTGTTGGGGGTGTGCTCCAGAAAAGCCGAACTTCCGGGTTCTAGCATGCATGTGCGCCCGACAATCAACTGGCCGGAAGGCATGCGCATGCCGGTTTTCAGCACTGCCTGCGCAAAGGGATCACACTTCAGAAAAGCCAAACTTCTGGGTTCTGGCACATATGCACACCCAACAATCTGCTGGCCAGCATGCATGTGCACACCAGTTTTTGGCACTGCTGCATGTGCGAAGGACAGCTGATTGTCGGATGCATATATGCGTCAGAAACCTGGAAGACAAACAGGCAAGGCCGTGCGTGCCGGGTGACATGGCTTTGCATGCAACTTTGGGCACATTCCAAAGTGCATGTTCAAAATTCTTGTGCCAATGCCACTCATTTTTACTGAGCTCTATACCCTTAAAACTGTCCTTAAAAACCCAATAACTACATTAGCATAGCATTTTTATTAGGTTGTGTTACATTTTGTTTTGTGGGGAGGAGGGTTTAGACTAATATGTAAATTTAGCTTGTTTGCTTAGCTTATGTACAAAAAAAATCTCTCACCAGCAACAATGGGTTAGAAAAAAGTTAAGTATATTTTGTTAATGCAGAGAAAATATATGAAATACCTTGTGTCCTGTTTTTTTATAGGATTTTTATAGTATCATTGCAATGAGAATTATATTTAATAAACAAACTTTTAAGCACTAATTATATATAACTAGGGCTTTCTTAATGAAAAGCCTTTTATTAATGCCAGGGCACTTGATTTCCAACAGCTTTTCAACATATTGCAGTTGTAGGCATCCTAAATACTGTCTGTTGATCCTCCTTCACCAGTATTTTCTTCTGATAAACTTTCATGGGATGCTCATGCTAGTTGTTGCTGTGTTCCAACAACTATACCTGAGAGAATTGTCTTTTGGAGCCAGAAACTATAATTAGGACCAATTCATCTGCTTGACCAGACTGCATGTGATAGAGTGTCATACACACCACAATAGCTTGTTTAACTTAGTTGATAATGCTTTGTCTATAATGTTTGCACAGAATTTTACTGAAATATGTTACTACAAAACATTCCCAACACAAATTAAAACATCAGTGATCATACTGTTATGTAATTGTTATAGAAAAGCTAACAGAGTTGTGCTTATATTAAGCAATATAAAACAAAAAGGTAGCTAAAATTAATTGTGGCATTGCAATTGGTGTGTAACTGTATGTACGTAACTATAATTTTCATCCATGAACACAGTAATCACAAACCTGCTAAGAAATACACAGGGAACCCACATGGATTTACCTCTAAGCAAATATACCTAGATTTGCACATTTTATATAACAAATGTTGTATGAAATACACAAATATACATTTATTTATTTATTTATTTATTTGTTTAAATTTCTATACCGCCCTTCTCCAAATAGGACTCAGGGCGGTGCACAGCCTAAGTAAAAACAAAACATACAAAATTTAAAAAACAGTATTAAAATAATTAGATATTCTGGCCGTAAATTAAAACAACCCAATTTAAAACCAATTTAAAATTTAGCTCAAGCCAGCCCAGCTAGTTTAGATAGATAACATTGCCTCTGATGATAGTGCTGTATTTATTATGACTTTAGTGCCTGCATATTGACTGTTTTGCAAATATGTATAGCATTTTGATATGTCTTGAGTCCTTCACCACCTGCGAGAGATATGTATTTGAGTTTGGTGGACATTATTTTGTTAACTGTACTTCCATTTGTGCCAAGTATAAATTATTATTGCTAATGAATGAGTAGATTTAAAAAAACCCAGTCCAAAATGGTCTCCTTCAATTCTAACTTCACTCTTTCCAGAGGTTAGTGGACAACTGGAAGGCAGATATGAAAATGTAGTCCTGGAAAGAGAAAATAATTCCAACAAGGAATCAAATCACCTTAGAGGATCTCCGGGTAGAAAAACCGTCATGCCTGTGTTTTGCTTTTGTAGGAAGCATCAGAAATAGGAGCCATAACAGCATTCCAGTAGTGTGTTGGGTTGGTTGCTGGAGCCAAAGTTTTTACAAAATATTTTCTTCTGACTGAAATGTTGATGGCTGCCACAGGAGAATTCTCTCTGAAATCTTCACCAAGTGTGTTTCAGGAAAATAATTTATGCTTTGCAATATTTTGCCATTTTATCAGGCTGTGATGTTAGGAGTTGCTCCTTCAGGTAAATGATCTCAACTGACATATAGCATTGTGGAGCATTATAGGTCCTACAAGGCAACCTTGAAGTCAGATATACTGTACTTCATAACTGACTTCAGTTAACATTCTGATACATCATTCTGAACTAACTAAAGGTTATGAACATTCTTCAGAGGCAGCACATGTTGGAGAAGTAAATATGTGGCAGTGTAACTGCAGTCATTTCTGATAGGTCCAAGTCATTATTATCGATCTCCTTAAGTTTGAAGAACTAAAGAATTCCTGTAACTGGAGTTTTACCTGCTGGATAACGAATGGTTGTGAAGCAGGAAGAGAAAATTTGGAATAAATAAAAACAGTGGCAGAAAGTGAATGTGCAGAAAAATGAATATGTCTCTCCCCACAATGCTCATCTCCCACCCAAGATCTCTTGTGCTGCCATTTACTTGGGAGAAGCATGACAGCCCCACAGGGAGAGAATGATTAGCTCACATTCATCATTTACTTCGAAAATTATTTATTGGTTCAATTTATATGCCGCCCTTCTCCGGAGACTCAGGGCGGCTTACAATGCGTTAAGCTATAGCCTTCATACTTTTGTATATACCTGCTTAGTAGGGCTTTCGGGGGCCCCCAAGCGGTGTTCTTTTTTATACAAAGTCAGCTTATTGCTCACACAAACCGGGTCCTCATTTTACCTACCTCGAAAGGATGGAAGGCTGAGTCAACCTTGAGCCTGGTGAGATTTGAACTTGCAGTAATTGCAGGCAGCTGGTGTTACTTAACAGTGCTTTAGTCTGCTGCTCCACCAAGGCTCTTGAATGCAGTTCTCCTATTTTGCATGGAAATGCAACTGGCAATGCCCATGAAGGCAGTATTGGACTTGAGAACTGAATTAGGCACTTAAAATGTTAGCAAACCATGCAGCAGTTTTGCAGAAATTTTAATATATATTATATCCATCTAGCCTGCTTGTTCTTTCTCTTCCATTCTTTGTGGAACTTTGAGAATCACATTGCCACTTGTAATGGGGCCTTGCCAGAATTAGCCCTGATTTGCAATCTATTGCTTGTACTATTCTCTCAGAGGCTTTCACCTGGATTTGTGGCACTTCAGCAGCTGGAATTCTTTCCAAAGGGCTTTCTTACTTGCATTAACCAATTTTCCTGAATCCCTGTTGAGGCACACAAAAGCCTCATTTTGGTATATGTCACATTAGATAAACTTTTATTTCAAAGCTGAAGATGTTTAGATGCAAGGAGGATTGTGCCTGGAGGATAAGTTTTTCTTTTAAAGAGAAGAACAGTTGCGTTACTCTGATAAAATGTTGCCAAGCTGGATAAAATAATGCTGTTCTATCTTTCAAAAAATATATATATCTTTATTTCTTTGCTTATAATTTGGAAGGACATAAACATCCTAAGACTATTTCTTTCATTTTATATTAAATTCTTTCGAGTATTTAAAAATGGACTGAATTTTAGGAATCATGACATTGCTGAATGCTAGGATAATTTGCATGGCAATCTCATTTATAGATTTCCATACCTTATATAGTATTTGCAGGTATTGCAAAACTGAATATAGGCAGGCAAACTATAATTTCTACATGTTAGGAGTTTTGGACTGGTATTTTTTCAATAACAAGAAAAGGTTAAAAAAAAGGTTTTTGTTTACTGTTTTTTGTTCTTTAGTGTAGATCTATAGTGACCTTTTACTTCACTGAAAATTATGAGATATGATTTATGATTTTGTTTGCTGTTCTATCAGTTGGTCAGACTTTCAACTAATCTCTAGATATTTAATGGCATGGTCACACTTATTTGTTCACCAATAGCTTCATTGTCAATTTTGGCTTTGGTTCACACAGAATTTGCTACCACTGAATACATAGGCACATTACAGAAAACATAAGCCTATAGAAATCAGTCAGCTTAAACATATTTTAATTCCCAGTCCTTTAATGGTTTCTTAAATCCATTCCAAGAGTAGGAAATACAATACCTAAACATATTAATATGTGTTATCTGCCTGTATAGCTAAAGCTGTGGGGGTGCTGTCTGATCTTGGTGTTTGCTTGGAGACATTTGTTACCCAGCTAGGTAATATTATCAGTGCACTCACACTGATTATGTTGACTAGCTTGCATAAGGAAACATCTGAAAGCTCAGAAAGCACCAAGGATTTCACAGTTCAACCCTCAGCTGCTGATATTCTCTTCTATAGAGAGATAAATCTACTTGACTAGGAATTCTGAGAACTGTTGTTCCAATTGTTGTTTGGAAGATTTGGAAGAT